ATCCGTATTCATTGTTCCCATGCACTGCAATTACTCAGCCAGCCCTATCTGGTGGGACATTTGAGTTGCTTCTCACACTTGGATTTCCAGAGCTGGGTACACATCTTTGGACATGAATCTTGGCCCACATCCAGGTAGTTCCGAATGAGCCAGCAGTCTCCTCACCAGGCTGCCCCGCTTCATGGTTATGGCCGTCATGGACACCAGCTCCCATTGCAGCTCCTGACCAATCAAGTGTAGCAAAGCCCAGAGCGGTGGGTCAGCTCCGGACTGGCCCAGGGCCTGGGATGCAGCGTCAGAGGCATGGTAAGTGCCTTTGCTGACTGGGAGGCCTGAAATTGTTCTCTTGGGCCCCATATTTTGTGCAGCTGTCGGCTTTGGGATTTACACAGGATGTGTTGTTCATACAGCTGAGCCGGCCTTGATAAAGCAACTGTGTCAAATAGGGGTAGAGGGTGTGCTCCCCCACATCTCTGTACAGCGAAACAGGGCTGAGGAGCAGCTGGGGTCTCTGCTGGCCAGGGCTAGCTCCCTGAGAGTCTCTGGTAACCCCATCCCCACCAGAGTGGCCCTCAGCCCCAAGGTCCACTGCTGCACAGGTAACACACACCTTCGCCTTTGGCTGTTTCTATTCTGTCTTGGCTAAGGTTGGACAGGTGTCCATAGGAAGGTGTAGGTGAGTTTGTTCTGAGAGAGGAGGCTGGAGCCCTGGGGTGTGAGGGTGCTTGGGGAGGAAAGATAGCCCTGAGCTGCACAGGGGAGCATCAGCCAGGCATTCATTCACTTCCTCATTCTTCCATTCCTCCTCTTCTTTCTTTATTCACTGGTTCATCCAACATCCTCTAAGCATTTACTCTCCTGTCAGACACTAAGCCTGAGATATTGGAGGCCTTGGTCCTTTCCAAGCCATCTCTGGATGTTGCCACATGAAACAGAACTTAGCCTGACAGGCCACTGGACAGACTTCTGCATTTCCCAAGCAAAGATCATCTACATCAAAGGCAGGCCCAGAATTTGAGTTCCTTCTTCCTGCCCTGCCTGTCTCCATTATCCAGAGGATTCAGAGACAACTCACAGAAACCCTCCTGAGCTCTCTCCTCCTGGGTGTTTGGTTACATGGCATGATTGGGGCAGCCTCCAGGCCCCACAGGGCTACAGTCCATGGGCTGGTTCAGAGTTTTCGCACTTTGGGCTTCCCTGCTGCCATCTGTGCCCAGGGAGCCTCCTCCCTCTCAACTCTGGCCCTCCCTCAGCGCCTCTTCTCTGGGTGGCTCCTCCTCCTGCCTGGTGGAAAGATTTTGTGAGCAGGGCCTGCAACAGCTGAGGCCCCAGTCTCCGCTAAGCCGGCCCCAGTCTCCGCTAAGCTCTCGGCCCTGAGCAAGTGAGGGGAGTGGAGTTTTGCAGCCTGATGCAATGTCTGGCAGGGCCCATCCCTTATCGGAGCTCCATTCACAGCAGACTCTGGGACCTTGTCTCTCCCAGGGAGAGGCAGAGGTGGGCTGCAGTCCATTTAGGGCCTCAGTGGAAGGCCTGGGGAAGCCGAGGGCCTGGCTGGGAGCCATCCAAGTAGAAAACTGTTGTCTTGTGAGGGCCCCTTGCCAGGTCATGAGGGAAGCCTAAACAGAAAGGCGCCCCCGGAGGGGATAGCAAGGTAGGGATGCCTGTGCTTGGCGTTTAGGGCCTCAGCTCACAGTCCACTTTCTTTCTAGTGTTCCCTCATTAAGATTTGGCTGAGGTGCCTTTGGCTGTCTTCTGTTCTCCCGGTTGTTAGCACACAGCTGTAGAGGCTTGGGCTGAAAGCCCCAAAGCTCAGTTTCTTCATCCTCAAACCAGCACCCAAGATTGTTATAATTCAAGAGACTAATGTATGTGAAGCCCCAAGCATGCCGTTTTGCCCGTAGTACACACTTATAGCATACGCCCATAGTAAATGCCTATAGTACACATTCAGCACATGCTTATATTATACTCTCAGGCATATACTCATAATACACGCCCGTAGCACATGCTCACAGCACACACATGTGGTTCCCTCGTATAAGGAACAACTGCTTTTTTTCTTCATATTTTCCGTCAACTTAGAATTATTAAATATCTCACACTGGGCTAAATGCTTTGGGAAAGACATCCTTCAATTCATCCAACAAGTACTATGGCGCACCTGCCCTGTGCCTGGTATACAGAGGAGGGCGCTGGGATAATGGGCGTAGAATATAAAGGCGAAGGGGATTGACGACACTCTCGTCTCCCGGAGCTGACATTCCGGTGGCTGAAATAACAGTGGCAGTAAACGAGTACATTTCCAACAAGGAAGGAACTAAAGCAGGATGCCAAGAGGGAAAATGATGGAGGAGGATAGATGGTCAACGTTAGGTCAGTGGTGACAAAACTCCAGCAGAAAGGACATTTGAGCTGAGCACCGGGTGTAAGTAGGCCAATGGCAGCTGTCCCACCATCTGCTGCATCCAGGCAGAGCTAGGCTGGTATGTGCCCCTGGCTTTCTTCACCCATTGGCCCAGGCACCCTGGAAATATGACCTCCTCTGGCATCCTGGCATGGGGATGCCAGTTTTTCCTTTGGCTGTCACGTCATTGCTGGGTGTTGGAGGGAGGATAGGTATGAAGCACTCCCCAGGGAAGTGGCAGCCACCAAGAGGAGGAAGAGATTTTTCATTTTTCCCATGAGCTAAGCAAGAGAGAAGGACTGGCCTGTGCACCATGGGTTTTGGGAGGCGGGTAGTATGAAGGATTATGTGAAGGTAATACGAAGGCACCCTGGACACATTTCTGTCACAGATGTCACAGACCCACTTCTTGCAGAGGGCCTCCTGTAGGGCAGGTTCTGCCTGAAAGTTTGCTGTGTTACCACCATCCCAGCCCTGTCCTCCCTCATGATCCTTTGACCTCCTGGCACTTGTGACCTCTCTTGGTGACCTCTCCCATTCCTCCTGGGACCTCTAAACCTCCCTCATCTGCTGCCCACCCACTCCCACCCAACCACTGGGCTTCCGAAGCTAAACCTAGGGGCAAACCAAAGGAGCCAACAGCCTGCCTGTGTTTCATGTCACAGAGAGTTTTCGTTTGCTTCTTCCTTTTAGGGTAATGGCAGGAGAGTTCTTAGGAATCCTGTATGGTTGAGGGGTGGGGGGAAGGAGTGAAGCTGGGAGGGCAGCTTAAAAATAAAACAGTGCCTGGAAGGGAGAGGAGAAGGTTTAGGAGCTTTGTCATCAAGGCAACCAAACTTTTAAATCTTACCAAAGATGTTATACCCTGAAGGGAGAGGGCAGCAAAGGCAACTCCCCACACCCACCCCTGCCTTTTTTCTCCTCTCTAGTATTTAATGAACGCTTTCCATGCATCAGATGCTGTTCCTCACAGCAATCTTATGCAGTAGGTACCATCTTTTTCATGCTACCGGTGAAGAAATTGAGGCCCAGAGAAGTTAAGTCGTTTATACAGGGCTACACAGCGTGGTAGACACTCAGGAAGGACTAGAACCCAGGACTTTTGGTCCCAGCTTCTGGTCCCTGCTTCCCTCCCACTATCAGACCAAGGCAACTCTCAGCCAACTGCCCAGAGGCTAGAAAGTCAGGATTTCAACTCTTGTGTTCTGCAGACTCAGAATTGGATCTCACTCACCCTTTCGGCAGGACAGGTGGCCTTGCACCCCACCATGGGTTAAATGAGATGCTTAAGGAACGTGATCTTGTCTATGATTCTACAAACTCATGCCAACAGCCAGCCAGGCACTGAGCCAGCCACCAGCTTTGACAGGTTCACTCACAGTGATTTGTTGGGCAGCAGGTATATGCTGGGTGTTATTCTAGATGCTAATCCCAAGATTGGGGGGCTTGCAGTCTAGGAAAGAGAGACAGACTGACAGACCATCAGCTGGAAAGCCCTACCATATGTGCTACAGTGGGGGTCACTGGGGAGCATTAAGAGGCTTGAATGTCCTGGATCTGGGAGGAGTGATCTAGGCCCCTGCTGGAGGAACCTCGGGTAAGTTACTTAACCTCTCTGAGCCTCCTTTTCCTGTTCTGTAAATGGAGGTGGTTGCTACCTAATAGGGTTTTTGTGAGGAATTGATGAGGAAATGCAAATCAAGTGCTAGCATAGCACCTGGCACAGAGTAGTAAGCACTCAATAAACTTCAGCTACCCATATCATTCCAGTCAGCCCTTCCAACCAGAGTGTAAACCCCAAGGGCATGGACCAGGTCTGCCTGTCCAATGCTGCATCCCCAGTGCCTAGACAAGAGGCTGGCACATAGTAGGCTCTCAGGAAATATTTGTTGAATTAGTGCATGGGAAAAGGCCCGGAAGAAATCGAAAGAAGCAAGAAAATTCCAGTTGCCCTCGTGCTGGCCTTGCAGTCCTCTTCCCTCCTGGGCCCCTCCTCACCAACCTACACTCAGGAAGCACCCCCAGTATCCCATCAGGGAAAGCTACCTACTGCCCCACCTCCTCTCTGCCCTGCACAGCTGGGGACTTCCATTTGGCTGCCAGGGTATATATCTCCTCACATGTAGAAACCCTGCCTCATTACTTTCCCTTAAGGAATTCAGGGACAGATTTTTCTGGCTGTCCCTGAAGCTAATTCCATTGTGTGACAATGGTGCAGCCTTGGGACCCAACTTCTTGCTCTCCCATTCCGCCATATCAACACCAGCTGCTTTCCTTAGGAAAATCTATCTTTTCCAGGGAGAGGGATGGTCTGGGTGCCTTGCACAAAGCCACAATAAGATTTTTCCAAACTTGGAGCAGATTGTGTCCCGTGGATGAGGGTCCTTATGGAGAAAGGGACAGATTTGCAGAAGAGGAGGAAGAGGGAGTTATGCTGGAATCTGGGGCTCATGGTGCAGGACAGGTGTGTGACAGGAAGAGTGAAAGAAATAGTGATTCAGGCTCCATTGGGCGACGTTGTATTTGCTCCAGCTTTTAAAAATATACACACCCTCCACTGAGGCTCATTTATTCCTTTACTCATTCTGTCATTTAGCAACCATGCATGAGTGTCTCCTGTATGCCTGGGCCAGTGCTAAAGGATAATGAGGTTCCAAACTCCCCATCCTCCATGAAGAGATGATCAGCACTGAACAAATCATTTCAAGGAGGTTTGTTTTATGACAAAGTCTCAGGTGCTAATGGGAATCTTTTACAGTGGTGGGGCTGGTGAGCCCTAACCTGTCTCGAGGGAGGCTGCCCCAGGAACCTGAGACCTGAAAGCCGAGGCCATGTGAAGGATTTTGTTAGAATATATGTGCTATGATGGATTTTTTCCTTAATTATTTTTAAAAAATTAACGCATGGTAAAATTTCTAACAGTGCACAGTGTTACACAACAAATATAAGACTCACCCCACTCTTCTCTCCTGATTTTTTGGCCCTTTATTACAAGGCCTTGTGTTTCCCCGCAGTCACAGTCCTTTGTATTACACATCTATATTTTTCTCTCACTGAAAAAAATTTTTTTCAAATGGGATCATACTACATCAGAGGTTCTCAGCTTGGGGTGATTTTGCACCTGTCCCCTGCCCAGGGGATATTTGACAATGTCTGGAGACATTTTTGATTGTCACATCTCAGCAGAGGGGATGCTAGTGGCATCTAATGAGTAGAGGTCAAAGATGCTGTCAAAGATCCTACAATGACAGGACAGCTCCCACAACACAGAATTATCTGGTCCAAATGTCAATAGTGCTGAGATTAAGAAACCCTGTCTTACGTAAGCACACTGTGTCTGCAGCTTGTTTTTACATATATAATTGCTATTTACAGATAGATAGATGATGATTATGATTATGGTGATGATAGATGATAGATAGATAGAAAGATGATAGATAGACAACAGACAGACAGACAGATGATAGATTATTCACATCAGCATTTGTAGATCCTCCTCCATTATTTTTTATTTCGGTGTTTGTAGTCTTTTCCTATTGCAAACATTTGTACTGCAAGGAACATTCTTTTCCCTTGAGTCATGTGTGAGGTCAAAGGATAAATTGATGGAAGTGGCATGGATGAATCAGAGGGTCATTAGCATTTTAAATGGCCTGATTTCAAGTCTCTTTGGTTTAGAGTCCATTAGGATAGTGGGTATGGGATTATGGCTGCTAAGCAAGACCAGGATCCTCAAAGGTCTGGTGGGAAAGCTCCTCTTTGTTCTCATCTACAAACAAGGATGTCCTGACTCCCCATCTCTCCACAGGAGAGGGTGTCCCCCACCTGAAGACAACCAGCCAGGTCCTGAGTGATGTCCCCAAGCTGAGTGCCCACAGCCCCACCCTTCCCCATGGAGAAAGGACTCGCTTTGCCCCAGGAGTGCCGGGACTTTCTGCACAGCCTGAGGATGAGGAGCAAATATGCCCTTTTCCTGGCTTTTGTGGTGGTGGTTTTTGTCTTCATTGAAAAGGAAAATAAACTCATCTCGAGGTGAGGGATGCAAGCACGAGTCTTCCTTATGAAGGGGGTATGGGAAGCAGAGAAGCAGCTGTATGGCTGTCTGGACCTGCAAAGGCAATCCTTCAACCAGTGATCATCCGTGCACATGTCCTCAGTGGTGAGACTTGGGCCCTGGACTCAGGCAACCTGGGTTAGAATCATAATTCTGACCCTTTCTAGCTGTGATAGCTTAGGCATATTACCTCACCTTTCTGTCTTAAGTTCCTCTTCCCTAAAACGTGGCTAATGATGGGGCCTTCCTTGTTGTAAAGGTTAGATAAGAAAATGTAAAAGCTTTTAGCCCAGTGCTTTGGCACATAGTTGGTGTCCAGTACTTGCTGGCTGTGGTTATTATTATTAATTAACGTTCTGGCCTAAGATGATGCCTCAATTTAATAGCACATCCTCTATACCAATCCAAAGTCATGGATGAGGGTGAGCCCATGGAAAGGCAGGGCCCTTGATACAGATACCCTGGTGGGCAGGGATGCCATGTGCAAGTTGAGTATTGCTCAACTCCAGGGGTGTGCAGTGTATGGCTGTGTGCAGTAGCCCTAGTAGTGGGCCAGCTCCACACAGAAAGATTTCTTAGACCTGCTTTCCCTTAGACCTGCAAGAAAGCATCAGCCAAGATGGATAGGACTTGGGCTGTGTAGCAGGTATTGAGTCAGTGCCCTTCCTGGGTTCCTTAGCATGGACTGTTCCTGTTTGTGCCTACGGGATCCTACTGCAAGTCCCTGCCACTATCCACTTAACAGTGTACTCTCCACCTGCACATTGGCAAGCCACAAGTACAGGGGAGTAAATGCCTATGTGAGCAGCTCTCAGCCAAGGCCAGCTGGGCTTTACCCTTTACAGGAGAGAATCCTGAGATGTGCTCTACACGTCTCCCAGGGCCCCGGAGTTGGAGTGATTTGCCCACAGGGGTAGCTTGTTCATCCCTCATGAACTTCTTTTCCTCTACACCTCATTCCCTACCCCTTTACCAGCTCTTCCTATGATCATTTCCCAAATCAACTACTTACCCTCAAATCTTTGCCTCAGAGTCAGCTTCTGGTGGAACCCAACTGAGACAGGCTTTGGGCGATCAGCCTGCGAGGCTACAGAGGATGGAGTCCCCAGCCAGTCACTGACCCTGGTCTCCCTTTGTCATCACAGGGTCTCGGACAAGCTGAAGCAGATCCCTCAGTCCCTGGTAGATGCCAATAGCACCGACCCAGCCCTGGACTTGGCGGAGAACGCATCCCTCTTGTCCCTGAGTGAGCTTGATTCAGCCTTCACGCAGCTGCAGAGCCGCCTGCGAAATGTCAGTCTGCAGCTGGGCGTGGAGCCAGAGGAGGAGGCCGAGCGGGAGGAGGAGCAGGAGAAGGAGGAGCAGCCACCGCCACCGGCTAAGGCCGGACCCCGGCGCCACGTGCTCCTCATGGCCACCACCCGTACCGGCTCCTCGTTCGTGGGCGAGTTCTTCAACCAGCAGGGCAACATCTTCTACCTCTTCGAGCCGCTGTGGCACATCGAGCGCACGGTGTCCTTCGAGCCAGGAGGCTCCAATGCAGCAGCCTCGGCCCTGGTCTACCGCGACGTGCTCAGGCAGCTCTTCCTGTGCGACCTGTATGTCCTGGAGCCTTTCATCAGCCCCCTGCCCGAGGCCCACCTGACCCAGTTCATGTTCCGCCGGGGCTCCAGCCGCTCCCTCTGTGAGGATCCCGTGTGCACGCCCTTCGTCAAGAAGGTCTTTGAGAAGTACCACTGCAAGAACCGCCGCTGCGGCCCCCTCAACGTGACGCTGGCTGCCGAGGCCTGCCGTCGCAAGGAGCACATGGCCCTCAAGGCCGTCCGCATCCGGCAGCTGGAGTTCCTGCAGCCGCTGGCGGAGGACCCCCGGCTGGACCTGCGCGTCATCCAGCTGGTGCGTGACCCCCGGGCGGTGCTGGCATCCCGCATGGTGGCCTTCGCCGGCAAGTACGAGACCTGGAAGAAGTGGCTAGCGGAGGGACAGGACCAGCTGAGAGAAGAAGAGGTGCAGCGACTGAGGGGCAACTGTGAGAGCATCCGCCTGTCTGCGGAGCTGGGCCTGCAGCAGCCAGCCTGGCTGCGGGGCCGCTACATGTTGGTGCGCTACGAGGACGTCGCCCGCAGGCCCCTGCAGAAGGCCCGGGAGATGTACCGCTTCGCAGGCATCCCCCTGACCCCGCAGGTGGAGGACTGGATCCAGAAGAACACCCAGGCGGCCCGGGATGGCAGCGGTATCTACTCCACGCAGAAGAACTCCTCAGAGCAGTTTGAGAAGTGGCGCTTCAGCATGCCCTTCAAGCTGGCGCAGGTGGTGCAGGCCGCCTGCGGCCCCGCCATGCACCTCTTTGGCTACAAATTGGCACGGGATGCCGCCTCGCTCACCAACCGCTCTGTCAGCCTGCTGGAGGAGCGTGGCACCTTCTGGGTCACGTAGGGAGACTGGGTCACGTGCACCCCTCCTCGTGAAAGTCCCGCCCTGCCTTCCTCACACCCAGGCCGGCGGTGCGGCCGCGGCACTCGCAGAGGAAGGCGGGAAACCGTGCAGTGAGCAGGCCGCCCCTCCGCTGTAGAAGTAGCCCCCAGCCACATAGCTTCCCCACCGCAGCTGTGGGCTGGGGTTTCTTGCTGAGAACAGGACAGTGCCCTGTCCCTTTAAGAGCCATCAAAACCAGACATAGGGAGCAGCAGTTTCCTGAGCAGGCCCAGGCATGTCCTGGCCTAGTGACAGCGCCCCTCCCCGTCTTTCTCTGTCTCTGTCTGTCTCTCTCTCTCACACACACACATACACACGCACGCGCGCGCACACACACACACACACACACACACACACTTGAAACACACATAAATGCCTATAGACCCTGTGGGACAGAGTCCAAATATTTAAAAATCAGAAGGATCTGTGGACATTGACTAGTCACAGTTGCATCTCCCACAGTGCTCCAGTGTTAACCTTTCAGTCTCCGGATTTCTACACAATCTACTATGGATTCTGGTTGGGTCCCTGGGGGAGGACTAGGACAGCCCAGGGCGTTAGAGGATGGCAGTTGAGGCTTACCAACCAAGAACGATAGAATAGTTTCATAAATGGGATAATGTGCTGGTTGCTGATGAAATCGGCTCTTATACAGAACTACAAAACACAGGTATAAAGATAAATTCCTATATGCACACCACACACACTGAAAAACATCATAAACACACAATTCCACACACACGCATGTAAATACACAGACAAGCTCCCCCATTGCTTTATGCCCACAGGGTTTAAGGGTTTACAGGTTTTCTCTTTATCATACACCTTATGAGGAGTCTTTAATTATTTGGGGGCAGGGGAAGGAAACAGTCATAGGCCACAACCCCGTTGCCCAACCAGGTTTAGGATGAATGGTGGACACAGAACTTCCAAGTCCTGCGCTTCTGCCTTGGAGTCACATGACTACCTCCTCTGGCCCATTTATATCCTCACTGCTGGCAGGCAGGATGTTTTGAAATGGCGTGGTCCACTCTCACGTGTCTGCAGCCCAAAGGCCCCATCCCAGTTTGGCTGGTGTCCTAGAGCATGTCTATATTTGAAGGCTGCCTGGGGCCTGATGGGCAGAAGCAGCTGTGGTCCCTGAAGGCAAAAGGCAGCGCATGGGTCCTGCGCTTGCAGCCAGGCCTCTGTGGGGCAGGTCCTGGAAGACAGTCCAGAGCGCTCCTTGGGGAGAAGTCACATCAGGATAGCCCCTCCCCTGAGAAGACAGGGGAACGAGGTCGGCCTCCTGGTTGGTCACTATGGTTATGTGGTTAGTGTCTGGAATTCCTCCTTTAGGGCTCTGGGAAGAGTATTGCTCAACTCAGGATGGACTGGGTGTTTTATTTTATTTTATTTTTTATTTTTATTATTTTTTTTTAGGTTATTTATGGTTTGGTGTTTTGTGGCTGTGTTTTCGGTTTTGTTTCTGCAGGAGTGCAGCTTGGAAGCAATCTGTGCTTGAGGGGCTGAGGGGGTTCTGGGAGGAGCAGCAGGGAGCGCTCTGCTGAAGGGAGAGGAGGAAAAGAAAGAGCCTTACTCCAGAAGGATCAGAGCCTAGGTGGCCATGTGGCAACCCACATGCCCCACGGACTTTTCTGTTTGAACCCCATGTGGAACAAATCTCAGCAACCACCAACGTTCTTTGCTGCGTGTCCAGAAGCAGCATAGATTAGCAGCCCTTCCCTGAGAAGAGGCCGGATTTGAACATTTCTCCCAGGGCCAATCACATTTTCTGGGGGTTCAGGGGCCTATAACCAAGCAGGAAATTGTACCCAAAATAGAAGTCTTTCCCCACTCCCAGCCCAACCCAGGGAGCAGAACTCAGTACCACCTTAGAACTTGCAGGGAGCTGTCACAGTTCACTAAGGCTGTTTCTGATTTCCTGGACAACCTCTCTGTCAGATCCGTCCCATTGTCAAACCCAGAGGGCTGAGTTTTGGTTTGAGTAATGTGGACACAAGGGAAATATGGGATCTAAATCCAGCTGGTGTTGCTGTGGGGAAGGAAGGGGTGTGCCCCGGCTGGAAACCACCTTTTGATAAGGTGAGGATGGTAGCCATCTTGTGGGGTCTGTTACAATCGCTGTATTTGAGCTGCCGTGTCTCCATCACCATGGACTTCAGCCATTCGAAGAGGTCTCCACTCTAGGTTTTTCAGTCCAAGAATAAGTGATGCAGGGAGCTGGCTCTAATTTGGGGTCTAAAGGGACTCCAGCTCTGAAAACTTGACTCTGGGGGAGAGTGGGGCCAGGATTTTTCTGGCAGGCCCAGAAGTGCTGGCAGTTTTTCCCCAGCCCCTGCCCTGCTCCCTGTACTATTCCCCACGTGGGGATGTGAGGGCACGCTCCCCTATCCGGGGTGCTTCCTGGAGCCTTCTGAGTATGGACAGCAGACTTCCGCCTTCCGTCCTATGTCCAGGGCCAAGGCCTCCATCCCTGAGCTCTGAGGACTGTACCAAGAATGGACCTTTGGGACCTCTCAGGACATTGACAATTTGTATATTGCAAGTTGACTTAATTTATTTATTTTATGAAAAAGAAGAGACAGAAAATACCTTATTATTTGCAGGGACTCAAAGCTGTACCCAAAACAAGAAAGACAAACATAATAATAGAAACCAGTCACTCACTCCACACACAACAAGGACACTCCAAGAGGATTCAGGATACAAGAGGGAACTAAACCAAGAGCTCTGGAGTCGAGATGGCCCCAAGCTATTGTTTAAGGAACTTCCTTCTCTTCCTCTTGTCGGTTTGAAGATGCAAAAGTAAGGCCTTTTCTTCTGTGTGACCTTTACCCACATATCTGAAGGGGGACCCAAGTTAAGTGAGTCTTGCCTCAGGGCTCAGCAGTACTGGGGTTTAGAGGACAGGGTGGGGGTGACTAATGACTTTACACTCCGTGGGACCTGGTTGGAGTCATGTCTTTGGGGTTTTCAGCATGGAGCTGGGCTGGGAAAAATGGTCCAGCTGGGAACTAATGCCTCCTTTTCCAGCAAGGCCGGCCCTGGTTTCTCTGCTCCTGCTGATGCGCCAGGAGCCTTCCCCTCCGCAGCACCCACCTGCCTCGAGACAGAGGGAGCAGTTAATGCCTCAGCTCCACAGCTGCCAGCTTCCCCGGAACAAGAGGCCCATTCAGCAATGAGTGTTTACTCGTTTTCTTCTTCTTGAAGAAGACCTCTCTAGCCCAGCCTATATAAATAGTTCAGAACATTCCAAGCACTGGTGAGACAGGGCAGTGTCTAACACCCGCAGGCTCTTGCCACGACTGCCCATTTCTGGATTCTCCTGCACCTTGTTTGGAAACCTTGGAATGGATGAGGGCATGGGGCAGCGGGGAGCGGGTCTTTGGGAGTCATTGATGGGGACAGGATTCCTGAGTCCTCATGGAGAGGGCAAAGGAAGAAGCAGATGTGCAGCTCTGTCACATGCCCCCTGCAGGTTATCACTGAGTTATTACTAAGGTTGAGAGACAGGAGCAAATTCTAGCTTTTATCCCTTTATGTGATGCACACACTTGAAAATAAATAACTAAATGAATAGAAAAAAATGCTTAATGAAGAGTTTACTCTACGTCTGCCAGCACCCTCAGCCAGAAACTGGTTTAATGGGGCAGCTGCTAACCAAACCCCCAAGAGCAGAGGGCACTCATTCAGTCCATTACAGTGGCATCTTTCCCTGCCATCTGTCTGATGATGAAGTGAGTTCCAGCAGAAGATCAAGGGATTCCTGTCCCAAAAGATGGATGCTTGACCTGGACAGCAGACAGGAGATTAAAGCATCGGATGGTCTGGTTCTGCCCCTGAAGGTCTCTTGCATCCCTGGCTGATCCTCAACCACAATGGGGTCTGTTTTAATTGACTATAGGGCCTATCCCTTGACAGGCCTTGGATTATGAAGAGCAAGAGCAGAAGACTGGGTGGCTGCGTCCCCAAGGCAGTCACCTCTCACTCCCATCCCCAAAGGCTAAAAGCAAAGGCAGGTCTCAGAGGGATGGGTTCTCAGCAGGGAGAACTAGGGGGACAGAAAGGATGGGTGGGGGAATAGGTGCCTGCAGAGAACAAGTGGCTCTTGCCAATCTGTACAAACTGAAAGAAGGAGCATCCACTAAAATCCAGAGGCCCCAGGTTGCTGGGTTTGCTTGTGAAGATTCCCAGGACATGTCCAACTAGGCGGGAGGGAGAAGACCTGAATACAGCCACATTGCTTCTCAACTACCCACGGTTTCAGGAACAGTGGAAGCTGCTCTTTACCTCAAAAAGACAAAGCAGAATTGGCAACTTCAGATGTCTCAAGAGCTTCAAGATCCTTTGGTCTTGTGTCCTTTGTCATTTCATGACTGTGCCTGGGGAATGAATAAGTTATGCATTTCCAAAAATACAGACATGGTGCCAACCTCATTGGCCTAGCTCATATTATAGATCAGGTGTTTTATTTGGGAAACAAAATGACTCACGTATCCTGCTTTCTCTAACACTGGGCTTGACCTGGCAACCCCTGAAGTCTCCATCTCATCAGTATGTCCTAGGCCAAGTCTGCCTGGCTTCCCTGTTCCCTCCTGGATCCTGAAAACTCTGTCTTTTTGCCAAGACCTTGGCCCTGTGTCATGTTTCATGGCCACACAGTACAGGACACTTTCTTCATGGCCATGGTGTATACATATGTGTCCACACGTATGTATGTGTAGCATGCAGCTCATTCTGCTCAGCCACATTGCTCCCAGCCCCCTTGCCATCAATGTCTCAGATGTCCTTGCCATGGTTACAATCTGCCGTCTCCTGGAAACGCAGGGGCTGCCCTTCAGAGAGCTGGCGGCCACCCCTGGTCAGGGTCTGCTTTGCGGAACAGAATGTGAATCCATCACTTGATGGCTTACTTGACTTATTTAATTAAAGATGGAAACATGCAATGAGCAAAACCTGAAGTGTCGCTGCCTTTCTTTTGCATTTGTTCTTAGCAGCAATCATAAAAATTAATAGGAAAAAAAATAGTAGCTGTAGGAATGGGGTGACTTCTAGCATGAAGCAGGGCACAGGAAACCCACTGCCCACTCCTGAGGAGTGAAAGGCGCAAGGGAAGTATGGCTAAGTGCAGAGGGCATGATGAACGTTCTGTGTTACCAGGACGGCAGAGCTGGTGGTGACTGCCGCTGGCTCCAAGAATGAGGTCTGAGAGATAAATACCCAGGCATTATGGAGCAGAGACAGGAGCATTGACCAGAGGTCAGGGAACCTGGGGACGAGTCCCAGCTTTACCACTGTCTGGCCCTGTGACCTTGGACAAGTCACTTACCTTATCTGAGCCCCAGTTTTCTTTAGAATGAGGAATGTAATCAGAGGTTTACAGCCTTCGATTCAAAAGTCAGCCCCCTCACCCACAGCAACTGTGTGTCGATTGGCTTCACATGTTGAAATAACACCTAAGGTTTCATTTGGCCTTCAGTAAAATCTCGAAATGTAATGGAATCCTTTCAAATTGCAATTGCATTACTCTAGCTGTCATATCAACTTCAGTGTGAATTAGATTTCCATCCTTTTGTCTCCTCACAGCCACCTGGAGGGAATGGGCATTTCACCAGGGAGAAAAGATTCGTTTTAAAACACAGAAAGTCAGAGCCGGTGGAGCTTTGTGGGTTTGCGGGGCACAAGGGAAGCGGGAACAGCAGCAACCATCCAGAGGCAGAGAAAGAGCTGAGTCCTGGGGACAATGGTGCCTAGAGTGAGGGGGTGATGGCCAAGTGAGGGGCATGATATAAGGGAATAGGACCCCTTCCTCTTTGTCTCTGCCATTTCACCCAGACCAGGCCTTGGAATCGCAAACCATTTTCCTCCCAACCCTTAAAATATAGGCGTCAATGCAATGACATCCCAACCTGAGTGAAATCGCCACCCTGCCCCCAGTCAGGTGCCATTGCTATCTCCGCTCCTCTGGGGACTGGATATATTTAGTTTCGTTTCTGGGTTGTGCTTCCTACCACAAATGGCCCACTGGAGAAACAAATTGCCCTAATCATAGAGCAGAGAAGCCGGGACACCTCCCCACCCACTTATCCCCTCGGCCACCAGCCCAGGCCAGAAGCTATTTTTCCTCCCAAATCCCAAACCTCTTTGGGCTCCTGAATCTTCCTCCATTACACTTCAAGTTACCCAACCCTGAGAAGGAGCCTAACACCACACGGGGTCTCCGAGGAAGTGACCGTCAGCCAGACCCACACCGGGAAGCACTTTGATTACCAGCTGGGTCTTGGGACCTGTGCCATCTGCTCCCAGAGCCCTGCCAGGCAGGCCCAGCCTAGAGTCTGCAGCAGTGTTCCCAAGCATATTTGGAGGAACCACGGCCACTTAACTGCTCATAGGAAGTTACAGTGCACATTACCATAATCAAGGCTCTGAGAAGTCCTGCTTTCCTTTGACCCAGAAGCGGTTTTACGGGTGGAATTCTTTTATCATAAAAACTTTTTCTTGTCACTCTGGCATTCTGCAGGACAACTGGTAGCAACCAGAAACCTGCACGTACAAGCGTAGAGCAATAAAAGCCACGATAGGAAGACAAGAAAGTGGTGGGTGAAAAGACTGGGGAGAAAAAAGTTCAGGGTCAGGTTTCAGGGCCCCATGCCACCTTCATGCCGTTCTCCCTGAGAAGCAGGCCAGGAGCGAGAGTTGGCCTATGGAGACTGTTGAACACTCAGGGTCACTGTGGGTTCACCGCCCCAAGGCATCCACGCTGCTGTTATAAAACTTGCTGGTAACCTGAAGCCCTTGGTCCTTGGTTTCCTCAACTCAGCCACACCTGTGGGGCCTCTGTGGCATTACCCAAAAGATGTGGTGACCCCCACAGAGACTAGGGACCCTGGGGAGCTAGGCCAACCATAAACACCACAGGACACTATTGATCTGGGAAACCGGAGCTCAGGGTACTTCTTAAAGGAGCCATTTCTGAAACAGCTGGACAAAGGTTACCACCAGTAAACAGGTTCTTTGGAGATATAATCCTCTAGTAGCTAGTAAATCCCTTGCTAAATGCTGCTGTGCAGTTTATTAGAAGAACAAGCAAGTAGTAAAGACTCAGCGGGATAGGCTTGCCCAAGAAAATCAGAATGAGAGAGAGGAAAGGAAGGGAGGGAGGAATGAAGGCAGGAAAAACAGGAGGGAGGGAGAAAGACAACAAGGAAGGGACATTCTCATGAGATGTAGGGGAGGAAGACAAAGAAGCTACTGAAAAGAACACCCATGACTAAAGCCACAGCCACGATGTCCAAGAATTGAAGAGACGTGTATGGTCAGGCCAGGCCCAGGTGCACACTCAGCCCTGCACACCACTAGCCATGGACCAATGCTACCCTGTGGGTGTGTGGCCCACACAGTGTCTGGTTTTGTTTTTTAACAATTGGCATTAGAGGCCAACACTTAAAAATTAAGGGGTTTTATATAAAAACCAGATTTCTGTTTCCTCCTGAAAATTGGATGTCTTGGTTTGAGTTATACCAGAGGCTGATGTGGAGACAGGGTTTGAGAGCAAATGGTTTATTTGGGAGCTGCAGACATCCTGACAGGGGAGGTGGGAAGGGAGACAGCCAGCAAAGGGTACACGGTAAGGCCAGCTGCCACCCGGGCAAATGGAGCAGAATCCCTCAATAAAGGTATAAAGCCTGTACCTTGAAATTATCGACAGGTGAGTTGAGGAAGCCTAAAGTACTTCCACACTGATCCTTGTCAGTCTTTGCCCGGAGGCTGCTCTTGGGAGTATTAATTCCTCAGCACTGTCCTGCTGGCAGAATAGCATTGCCGAATTCTGGAAAAAGCATCAGGCCTGGAGATGAAGATACAGGCAGCTGGAAGTTTCCAGAGCACACTGTAAGTTTTCAGAGTCAGGTGGGAGACATGGGAAGGAATCTGACAGCACATGCTGCTTGGGGTGATAGGTCACATGGGGCTCGCATGCGCACAGGAACGATGGGCTGCAGCTGGGAGAAGGGTGGGCCCCGTCTCCCTTCTGGTCTCTCCAAATCTGAAACCGCATTTATCGTAGCGCTTGTACTGGTGTTTTACCTCCAACAGAGATATCGTCTCTATGAATCCATGTCTGTCCAGAATGAGAAAGCAACAAGCCAAGAGGGCCACAGTTGCAACTCCATTCATTACCATAGTGCCCCAGGCCCTGTAGGCCAGCCGAGTTTTCAAACTGCAGCTTTTAAAGTCCTCGTGGTATGCTGGGGTTTGGGTCGGTTTTCCCGACAATGCTCAGCCCTGGCTCCGTAATGCTTAGACCAGCAATAAAGTCATGAGTCTGGAAACCTAGGCTGGCCTGGTCAGAACTCCATGGAACTCAACCACCAATCACCATCTCTCGCAACACCCACCTGAATAACTCTGCCCACCGCTACCCCAGAGCAACTGCTGAATCAGCAGTGAGGAAGAGGACAGGTGGTTTTGCCCACCTGGAGTGTGGATGGAGCCAGGTCTGCGTCTAATCCATACTAGAGCTGCCCTCTTTGGAAAGTTTTCAACTTTCCGCTCTAATGCACCTAGTGGGGGATGCTCACCCGCGGGGCACGACAGGTCCCTTGGGTGTGCTCTTGCAATGAGTAGTATGGCAATCCCTAGTTCCTGAGTTTAAATACTATCCTGTTCTCACCCACCAGGAAAGCTCAGCAGAGTGATGGAGGAGGCAGTGTGCGCAAAGGCTTGGAGGATGAAGAGGACTTGGAGAGTTTGGGGACCAAGAAATAGTTTGCTCCGGCTGAGTGATGAGACAAGAGCCTGGAGAGGAGAGCTAGGGCCTGAATGTGCAGGAGCCACACTAAGAAGAGATTATACCTGATCCTAGGAGCTATAGAAAGCCATCGAAAGGCAGACTGAAGCAGAGTGGCCTGGTCTGATCCATTACGTCCCATTTTGCAGACGAAAAGAGTGAGGCACAGAGAGCTGACCAGCAGTGTCAGGATGTGAATCCACATCCCTCATCCTTCCAGACTCTTCTGTCCCATCTTTTGCCACTAGCTTCCCACTTGGATCTGTTAAGACCCCGCGGTCTGTGTAAATGCCATGGAGGCACAAGGCCAGGACCAAAGGCTTCCCTTTAAGGTCATACAAAATAAGCCTGAACCCTCCCCTAAATGCCAGCTTTTCAAAGTCAGCCTGAGTCTGCTCTTCTCCAGGCTCGAATAGCAAGAATGTGTCCTCATGTAGGACCTTAGACCAATGAATTGCCCTCTCTGAGCCTTGGGTTACTTGTGTGTAAAATGGGGATAATATCAATGTGAGGGATGGCATGTATGCAGTGTACCTGGCTCATGATGAGCCCTGAATGAACAGTGGCTGCTTTTACTAGAAGACAGTCAGAGGCCCTTCACCCCATGTTCCCCCTCTTCTGGGAGCCTCTCAGTTAATCAGCGAATCAACGAATATTTTAAAGACTTGAAAGGAGGCCCAAATAAAGCTTATAACAGAACCCAAACAGAATGAGTCCCTCGGCACCTGCCCCAGGCGGTCAGGCTGCCATGGCAGGACAAATCCTAAAAACCAGAGCTGAGCTTCCAGGGACAGACCCTGCGATGTCCCACAGAGCAACTCTCAGGGTTTGATGACTGAGTAGAGGTTAAATCTTTGCTTTCCTTTTGGAAGTTTTCATTAATTCCACTTCTGGGTTTTAACATTCTCTTTCCCCTTACTTGATGCTGATTTCTTTAAACAGTCTCCCTCCCAGGAAAAAGTGCTCTCTGCCTTCTGTCTATATGAGTGGAGAGACTGACACTTGAGAACCAAGAAGACCTGCATTTAAATCAACTCATTTAAAACATTGCCGGATGGGCAGTGCTTCTCCCCGCTGCCCTGGCCCCAGAGGGATCTAGCTGGCCTGAAATAGAGGTGTGTTCACGTTTGGCCTGGAGTCCACCGCCTCCTGACTCA